ACAGCTATGGTGGAGGTATTCCAACTCACCTCCAGATGGGGACCTTATCAGTTATACCATAATTAAACATCATATGCAACCAAAAACAAGAATGAGATTTCTAATCTCTTCCTGTCCAAAAATATGGTTACCTTACATTCACAAATGAAGAAACATATATAAAAAGGAACATAATTTGCAGGAAAATATGTCACCGATATCATTACCTTTAGTAGTTCTGCTTCTTTTTACAGTTTATAAATATAGTAGTGCTTAAAAAAACATCACGTGATCATGAGAAAGCCTGCGAAAACAATGATGGAATGTTGCCAAAAAAAATCCAGTATTTCTGAAATATGCCAATGTCTTGAATTCTTCAAACACATTTTGGAAACTGGATCTGTTTCCTTCATCAGATGTAAGGGTGGAGAGTGCTTCTACTCACCCAGACTTTTTCTTACCTTACAATTGATTTCTGGAACAAATCTAGTACTGAAACATGCAGTTTCTGAACTGCATCTGAAAAACTCAAGATGACAGTCAATGTCCAAAATAACATTCTTGTTTATTAAGATCCCTGTTAGACAATCACATGTTAAGTGATGCTGAAGAATAAAGCCTCCAACATAAAGTAAGTAAAGTAAAGCTATCCCTGTAACAGGAGGTGAAGGTCCATAGGGTTGTGAGACATTGAGGGTCCCACATTATCTAGACAATTGGCTCAAAGATGGCGGTAAGGTTGTCAGCCCTATGCGCCGGCCTCGCTTTACTCCCCAGGAAAATTATTTAATTCATTCCTGGTACCCATTTCTGTTAGAGGCTGAGTAGACCCCAGGGCCATAGTGCGGCTGGAAGGGGTAGGATAATTGAAAAAAAAAAATGCAATGACTTCATTTGGACTTGAACCCGTGACCTTCCAGCTTGTAGCATAGTGCCTCAACCAACAAGCCTCCAACACTCCAACATAGCTAAAAAAACATGTATCTCGCTTACTTACATCTTCATCTTGTCTGATCTTGCCGGTTCCATCATTATATGCATCTTCATGACAGGCTGGTTCTGAATAAAGCGTGTCTTCAACCCAAGGACGATCCCAGCTTGTGATCGAACATATTATGCGC